TCATTTTGCTTATGTGGTGCTGAGGAATCGAACCAGGGCCTCAGGCATGCAAGGCAAGCGCTCTACCACTGAGCCATCTTCCCAGCCCCCTATGAGACTCTCATCTCCAATAAACTACCAAAAAAAGCTGCAAGTGGAGCTGTGGCTCAAGCAGTAGAGCCCATTGCCTTAAGCAAAAAAGCTCAGGGACAGTACCCAGGCCCTGAGTTCAAGCCCCGACTGGCACATTGGCACACTGGCACACACACACACACACACACACACACACACACTCACTTCTAGGTAGAACAATACAAAGCCAAGGTTATACAAGGATTTCTTATAAGTAAATAAATGGTTTTGGCAAAAAATACAATTAAATAGACGACTATCCTAGCCTCACCAGTCATGGGGCTTGAACTCTGGGCCTGAGTGCTGTCCCCCAGGTCTTCAACTCAAGGCTAGTGCTCTACCACTTGAGCTACAGCACCACTTCCGGTTTTTCTGGTGGTTTATTGGAGATAAGAGTCTCACGGAGTTTCCTGCCTGGGCTGGCTTTGAACCACGATCCTCAGATCTCAGCCTCCTGAGTAGCTAGGATTACAGGCATGAGCCACTGGTGCCTGGCTATCACCTGTATCTTAAGATATAATTTTGGCCACAATAGAGAACCACACATGTAGACTTATACAACTCTGAAGATCTATGGAACCCAAGACCTCTACTCCACTGTTTTTGTTGTTGTTGTTTATGTGTCACAGTCACATAAAAATTTCAGAATTATACAGAATTCAGGACTGTTAATTATTATGTATTAGACACTACTTCCAACTCTGAAATTCTTTCCTTCCAAGTGAACAGCTCACATTTCACTCAAACTTTGGCTCTCTCTAAAAGTGCAGATCTGTTCTGTAGAATTTCAACCAGTTGCTGTCATATTAAGCACTTAGGAGTGAGCTTTCAAATCCTTAACTCTTTCCTTGCTTGACTGAAGGATAGTTTAATGGTAATGACCAGTAATAGGGATAGCATGAACTCAGCAATGAAGGGACAGAAGATGCATTCTTATTACAAGGCTCAGAGTATATGCATGCAAGAAATTTTTTTTTTTTTTGGTCAGTTGTAGGGCCTGAACTCTGGGCCTGAGCACTATCCCTCAGCTCTTCATCTCAAGGCTAGCGCTCTACCACTTGAACCACAGCACCCACTTCCAGCTTTTTCTGCTATGTGGTGCTGAGGAATCGAACCCAGGGCCTCATGCATTCGAGGTGAGCACTCTACCACTGAGCCACCTTCCCAGCCTAACATGACAATTTTTTTGAAAAATATAATTAGAAAGGACTTACAGATATTGCCTGTTATGACTACTAAGTTTTGGCAGTTTAATACAGAACTGAGTTAGCAAAAAATTATAAGGAAAAGTAAGAAAGGTGAGGATGATATTCACTTTTAGAAAACATCAAATTGGGGCTGGAAATGATAGTGATAGAGCACTCAAAGTTAGTGCTCCACCACTTGAGCAATAGCACCTCTCTGGCCTTTTCTGTGATTAATTGAAGAGTCTCATGAACTTTCCTGCCTGAGCTAAATCCTCAGATCTCAGCCTCCTGAGTAGCTAGGATTACAGGCATGAACCACCAGTGCCCAGCTGTATTTTTTTTTATAAACTCTAACTTTTGTTAAGGCTGTCCTCAACCTCAAGACCTGCCTGCTTATAACTACTGCAAAGCTGGGATTATAGATATGTGCCACTATACCCAGCTTCCAAACTCATTTTAGTATTTTGAAGGAGGTTGTTTTATTTTTCTAAGAAAGTGAAACAAATATAAATATTTTAAAGAATAAGCTTTATTCACAGAAAAATAAGCTTTAATCTAAAACAAATGCCAGATTGTACAGCAGTAAGTAATTTTCTTAGTTTTCCATACTGATGGAAAGATTCTTACAAAGTGAAAAAAAAGCCATAAAATTATACTCACAAATATATTCACAAATATAGTACTCTGTCCCTTATCACATGAGTATTCACAATACTAATACAATGACATAACAACCAGTCATTCTGTCAGGTTAAGTCTAATAGTAATTAAAAATGTAAAAATTTAACCGAAATTACAGTAAAGCTTTTGTTACATAAAATCAAAAATGCAAATCTATTACTAGGTGTAGAAGAAATGGTAAAAATATACTTACACAAGATTTTAAATGGTACATTAATAATACACAATAAGCATGTAGCAAATGCCAAGATATCTGCAAATTTCAAACTTCAAAATACAATCTTACCACCCAAGCATTAATATACAGTTGTTCAATTTGAAGATGATACATGCATTTAAGATTTTCCTATTATGTCAGTTATAGTGTCATTTAACATGTAGTAAAAAGTTGGAGCACAGTGAGTGGAAGGAACTGTTGAAAAATGAACTTTTATACCTTTTAGGACAGGGAGCTTGATGATGGTTTTTCACCTTCAAATTATGTTCCAGCCAGGGCTCTGACAGTAATTAGCTATATAATTTGAAGAAAGTTGCTCTTTTTTGAGCCTCGGTTGCCTCAACTATAGAATGAGGGGGATCAATGAGCTTCCAGCTCTGAATATGATTCCATTATGCTGGGAAAGAAATGCATAGTGTGATAAATGGATGAGTCAAATTGAAATGCTTATTACAAAGGTGGAAATAAATCAATAGTTTCTATTAGGAAAGCTCAACTGGATTTAATAAGGATAAATTTAAATCTTTATAAAAAGAATGAAAATATTTTTGACTTCTGACCAATTTATTTATTGTAATTTACATAATCAAGATCAGTAATTGTAACAAAGTTATCATGTAAGAACCTTTTCTAAGTTTTAACCCCAATTTCTAAGGGTAGGAGGCATAAGGGGGTTATATCAAAACCTTGGAAGACAGTCATTATTTTCATTTCACAAATGAAGAACTTATTTGATTAAAAAGAACTACATCTGTCAAACTTTCCCATTTCCTCATTTCTCTAATGGCAAGGGCATTTCTCTCAACTCCTCCCATTGCTTTCCTCACTCAACACCTGGCTAATCATAAACAAAACAATGACTTGGGTCTAATGAAGACAATATAGGCAACCAATGCTGAGGTGGTACTTTCAAAGTTCAATATACAAATCTTATGCACTAAAATAGAAACAAAAAAGCAATACCAAAATTTAAATATAATAATTAAACAAAATATAATACAATCACATTACATACTATACTCACCCTACCTCCTTAAAGGCAGGTGGGAAAACCAAATCTCAAAGGTAAAAGTAATAGTCATGAATTAATAAGCCTGGATTTACTTTATAAAGGCTATACTAATTTTGTCAGAAGAAAAAACTTTTTATCAGCACACTAAATTACTACAAATAAAGATAACTATTTAATACAAAATAGTTTTAATCTTCACAGGCCTAAATATAGTAAAATAATGGTGGTGACTTCAAAAATTCTAAAGTGACCTCCATACCGAAAAAGAATGTGGACAGGTAGATAAGAACTACAGTGGGTAGGGATTTGGATCCTGTTACACTTTGACCTTGCAATTGGTCAATTTTTGCAAAATTATGTGGAAAAATTCCAGTGCTTTTTTTGTAGTAAGAAAAAAGACAAAATCCGGTAGGTCTGTAAATTTTTGATTAGAAGCTGGAGTGCTGAGTGATTTTAAGAACCTGAAGCAACAGCATTTCTAAACCATTCTTAAAATAAACTTGTTAGCCACATCAGCTTCATGCATTAAATTTCACAACTCATGGAGACAAAGAAAAAAAAAAAGGTCTTGCTTAACTCAACACACAAGTTTTAAAAGAAGAGTTTAATGAACTGAAGCTCCCCAACATGAAACGCCTGTATTACAATTTAGTCTTTGAGTTCCTGACTAACAAGTACGTTGGATTACCTATGTGACTTGGAGCTGAAGTGTTCTGGAAAACATATTTTTAAAATTTTAACACTTTTTCCCTGTAAGAATGCTTTGAATGTAAATTTAAGTTTAAAGCTTAATCTATACAGATTTCATTTAACTTAATGATTATATAACTAGACTTAAACAGAAAACAGTGCAATGGAGAACTGAAGTTTTTGTACATGCATATATGCACACACACACACAAATCTGAGGTTTACATATACACAGAAAAAAAAACAACAAAGAAACAGAAAACCAGGATGTCATTACTTAATTCTGTTTAAATCTGCAATGCTGTAAATGAATTTACCATGAATATCACTTAATGTAGTAGTCCACAGAACATAACAATACTAACAATACTTTTTCTCTTAGCAAATACAACAAAAATATAATTTCTAATAGTTTCGCTCTCAAACTATTCTTTGTAGCAGAATGCCACTCATCTTTATAATATATTTTCCACAAGAATCTCTTTTTTTTTTTTTTTTTGCTGGTTCTGGGGCTTGAACTCAGGGTCTGGGCACTGTCCCTCATCCTCTTTGTGTTCAAGGCTGGCGCTATATAATTTGAGTCCCAGCACCACTTCGGGCTTTTTTCTGAGTAGTTTATTGGAGATGAGTCTCATGGACTTTCTTGCCTGGACTGGCAAGATCTTCAAATCTCAGCCTCCTGAGTAGCTAGGATTAGAGGCATGAACCATCAGTGCCTGGCACAAGAATCATTTTAAGTCAATTTGGGATGTTCCAATTTTATCCATACTGACTCTTACTAATTCTTTTTTTTTTTCTCGACTAGTTGTCTACCACTTGAGCTACAGCTCTACTTCTGGCTTTTTATTAGTTAACTGGGCATGAATCTCACAGACCTTTCTGCCCAGGCTGGTTTTGAACTGTAATCCTCAAATCTCAGCCTCCTGAGTATCTAGGATTATAGGCCTAAACCAGCAGTGCCTGACTCAAGTTCTTAAAATACATAAACAACTATTCTTCCCTTGTCAATATTTTATAATTTCCAAGAGGTTTTAAGGATCGTGAGAGGGTAATTTTTAACAAGCATCTACAACTATTACTACTTAAGCAAACAAAAAAAAACATGTAAGTGAAGACAACACCTTGTTCTCCATATATACATCTTAACCATACTAACAGTAAAAATTCACACAAAACTTTAGGATACAACAATTTCAACTAGGAAAGCTGTCACTGTAACTACAAGCAGGATTCATACATGCTTCTACTTTACCTACATAAGCAGACAAATGTTTAAAATACTGGATTAACAAAGATATTTTAGTAAAGTGACTTAGGCAGGCTTAAACTAGCAAGGATTAAGGATGAATCCTTACTAATTAATTGGAAGATCTGAGACATATTTTATATTTCATCTTACAAAATCAGAATATTTATTTTGAAAAAAGATAAGAAGACATGGTCTACCTGTTAGAAAACTACCACTCAGAAATAGTTTTCACCCACAAAGCAGGGAAAACAGAAATATTTGAATTTCACATTGGCACCAAAAAGGTTAAGTGCTCTGACTTCCTGAATTATGAAAAACTAAAACTGAGCCATAAGTAGTTTTGCAGGCGTTTGAACATGCCTAAGCCTTTAAATCAGTAAAATACTTCCTAAAAATTCTGATTACAAAAGCAATACACACTTACAAAAATTCAAACAAACTAAAAAGGAAGTGAAGGACTCCTGTAAGCCCCTAGGACCCAACCCTTCCCCTCCCCCCAAGAAGAAAAATCACATTTAAGAGTTTAGTATATAATCTTTCCAAATATTTTGTTCTATATACAAAATACACAGACACCTTGATTTGGCTCATACTATACATATTATTTTGCCATTGCATTTATATCTTTCCATGTTAGTATATGTTGTCTAAGTGGTAGTCAATCATTAAACATCCTTTTAGATGTGGTAGAATCTTAAAAAAGAAAAATATTTACACAGGTTGGGTGCCAGTGGCTCACACCTGTATTCTAGCTACATTGAAGGCAGAGATGGGGAGGACCATAGCTCCAGTTGTACCAAAAAGTTTGTGTGATTCCATCTCAACAGAAAAAGCTGGGCATGGTAATATGTGCCCACCATCCCAGCTACAGCTGAAAGTATAAATAGGAAGATTGTGGTCCAAGGTGGCCCAGACAGATCTCAAAAACAAAAAACAAATAACAACTAAAGCAAAAGGGCTAAAGGCATGATTCAAGAGGTCGAATGCCTGCTGTTAAACACAAAGCACTGAGTTCAAGCCACAGTACTGCTCCCAAGTTGTTTACACACATGATTATAATTTTAAAAGAAAATGTTATCCTAAAACATAAAGACAAACATCTAAAGATAATGTCTGTCTTTCTACATGTGGAATAGTTCATTCCATTTTCACACAGAACAACTTATGTGATTGAGGAGATTAGCACTAATCTCAACATTCACACAGAACGCTCCACTTGTTAAACTTCTCTGAAATGAACGAAAAATTCAAATGATCAATTCACTTATTCATAGAAACTAAGCCAGTGTGCTACAAATACACACTGTGATCAACTATAATAAGTTGCTTCTTAATGTAGGGCTTCAATTGAATAAAAATAAAAAATAACTGGATATATGATACAGTTAAATAACCTGAAAATCCAGATATTCAATGCTTAGACTGCCAATTAAAATAATGGTATTTACATTTGTTTTCACTTGGTAGCAAATGCAAATTGAATTCAATACTGATTACTTAATGTTCATTCACATCACATATTCAATCAGGGTCTTAAGAAGAACATAACATGCCTATTGTGGTGCTAGGTTAAGACATAAAAATTTTTTGCTTGAAAGTAATGACTGTGTAGCACATGGGACATTTGTCCACTGCTTCAGCACATTGTTTACAAGTGACCAGATGTCCACAAGGAATAAAAACTACAGCAATGTTTCTATCCATACAGATTTTGCAAAGTTTTTCTTCTTGCAGGCGCCTTAGCTGCTCTTCAGTACTAATTTCTGCACAAAGAGAAAAGAAATATACTCATTTTAGACTTTCTTAATTATTTCAATTCACTGAGACATTACTGAACCCCTACTGTGTGCCTGACACTCAAGTGCTGGGAGATGGGAGATGACTCACACATATCCTGTGTTCTTAAATAGCTAGCATACTAGTGGTGGAGGATATGAGATGAGGTTATAGAGGTAAGCACAAAGTACAAAGTGATAAGTGCTCTAATAAAGTTACATATAAATTGCTCTAGGACAAGATGAACAAGTTCTTCTGTTCAGGCTTGTTAGAGAAGGTATCATGGGAGAAGGGAGGAGGAGAGTGGAGGAGTGACATTTAAACATGGGAGCAATTTGCCACACAGAAGAAAGGATTAGTTAAAAGAAGGAGCATATGGAAAGGACATGACTAATTCCAGTAAGACATGGATTTGAGGGACACTTCTGCAATGGGACAATTAAGATTTGGCATTTGAATGTGAGGGTTGTGGAAGTAAATGGAAATATAGGAATTTGGGATTCTCAGGCATTTTGAGGTATTTATGCAGGAAACCCATACAAAAATTTCTAGTAGAGAACTGGACAATCAAATTTAAGTTTAGAAGAAGTCAGGGCATGCCAGACACTGGTGGCTCCCAGCTGTAATCCTAGCTACTCAGGAGGCTGAGATCTGAGGACCAGAGTTCAAAGCCAGCCTAAGCAGGACAGGCAGACTCTTTTTGCCAATTAACCATCAGAAAAGTGCCCAGGCTCTGAGTTCAAGCCTCATGACAGACCAAAAATAAAAGACGTCAGGGTGAGAAAAAGAGTGTCATCAATATATAGGTAACACAGAAATGCTTGTATAATTTAGCCTTTTCCAAAATAGGTTTTGTGAAATGGTAACAATTATGCCACAAAAATGTGCTTCCTGGTCATATATAATTAAAATTGAAGCAGCAGCAGTCAACAGCAACAGTATAAATACTATGTGCTAGGCACTATTCCAAGTGTGCTATGTATCTTGACTGTCTTTGTAATCACTGTATACTCATACTTTCCAAATTTGACCTCAAATAGAATGACTTGAACTCTCTCCTCTCCCTTCCTTCCCCTCTCTTTTCCCTCCCTCCATCTCCTCATGTTTTTCCTCCCTTGTCAGTGTTGGGGATAGAACTCAGGGCCCTTTGTATGCTAAGTGAGTATTCTACCATTGAGCTGTGCCACTTTAAGTAACATATTCCTGGGCCTTATTCACTAAACTTTATATTTCTAGGTTAAAAATACACTGCATTTGGGAATCACTGACATCACATTCAGTATAATACAATATGGTATATATCCATCTTGAAATAGTACGATGCATTTCTATTGTTCAACTATGGAGCTCCTTTATTGTGATAGCTCTTTTTTTAAAATTTTTTTGGGGGGTCCAGTTGTGGGGCCTGAACTCTGGGCCTGGGTGCTGTCCCTCAGCTCTTCAGCTCAAGACTGACGCTCTACCACTTGAGCCATAGTGCCACTTCCGGCTTTTTTCTTTTTGCTTATGTGGTTCTGAGGAATTGAACCCAGGGCTTCATGCATGCAAGGCAATACTACTCTACCACTGAGCCACTTTCCCAGCCCCGAAACGTTGTTTCATTTTGCTTAACAAATACTGAAACACTTAACTAAGTTAGAGGCATTACGGATACAATTAACAAACATATGAACTTCAGACCCTCAGTAGTTCATACACAAGTCACAAACGTAAGTAATCAGGAAATTACAATACGCTATAATGATAAAGGTAATTACAGTGTGTTATGAAGAACACAGGAAGGGTGTGTGTGCACTTGTGTGCACGTATGCACACATAAAAGGCCTACTGGAGAAAATTATACCTAAACTGGATCCTAAAAGAGGAGTAGAAATTAACCAGAAGGGGAAGATCATGGAGGGCAGGGGAAGTGAAGGATCAATTTCTAGCCAACAGAACATAGCCTACAAGTGTACAGGTAAGAATTTGTAAAGGAAATAGCATAAAAGGAGGCTATGGAAAGATTTGGTAAGCTAGTTTGTCCCTCATCCTACGGGCCCTGGTGATAGGTTTTAAATTGAAGACAGATAAGGCCACATTTGTGCACCAGAGGTTTCTCTAGAGAGGGATTGGACAAAAGAATTAATTTTCTTCTTAAAATCAACTTTGTGCACAATAAAAGCTATAGGCTCTCCTGGGGAAGTAGCTCAAGTTGTACTGGCACACATGAGGCCCTGTGTTTGATCCCCAACACCAAGCCCCTCTTCCCTCCTCAAAAGTTATGAAGATTGTTTGCACAATAGTGTAAATGTATTTAGCACTATCAAACTATTTACTTAAAACAGTTAAAATGGGCTGGGAATGTGGTTTAGTGATAGAATGTTTGCCTAGCATGCATGAAGCCCTGGGTTTGATTCCTCAGTACTACTGAAACAGAAAAAGCCAGAAGTGGCACTGTGGCTCATGTGGTAGAGTGCTAGCGTTGAGCTTCTTAAGAAGTTCATGGACAGTACCCAGGCCCTGAGTTCAAGCCCCAGAACTGGCAAAAACAAAAACAAAAAACCTCTGTTAAAATGACAAATCGATTTTTCCTCCTTTCTGTAGGCTGGGATTGAACGCAGGTTCTGATGCATGCTGGGCAATTACTCTACCATTGAGCTATACACATCCTCAGCCTGAAACTGGTTAATTATATGTTATGTGCATTTTGTCACAGTTAAAAAAATACTGAGACAAATAAAACTGAATACTGCTCCCAACCACCAGAATGATCTTCAGCACTCCTGCACAACCTGAGGTTTCTATCTGACATCATAAAAACTGTCAGGTATGGCCAGGCACTGGTGGCTCATACCTGTAACCCTAGCTACTCAGGAGGCTGAGATCTGAGGACTGTAGTTCAATGGCCACCTGGGTAGGAAAGTCCATCAGACTCTCATGTCCAATTAACCACCAAAAAGCTGAAGTGGAGCACCAGCCTTGAGCACTAAAGCTCAGGGACAGCAACCAGGCCCAAAGTTCAAGCCCCAGGACCAGCAATCAATCAAGCAATAAGAACTATCAGGGCTAACACACATGGATATCATTACCCTTTTTCTAGTAAAGCTATTTACTTGAGATGGTGATACTCTAGGTACAGCTTTTCCCCAGACTAATAATTTACCTTAGCCAACTACTTCATGCCATCTTTAAAGGTGGTAACTGGGTCCTACATTCATTCTACAAGGCCTATTTCTAGATCAGAAATTTCCTGGCATATGATCATTAAAAGTATTATATAGAGTCTTCTTTTTTTTCCCAGTCCTGGGGCTTGAATTTAGGGCTTGGGCACTGACCCTGCGCCCTGAGTTTCTTTTGCTCAGGACTAGCACTCTAACACATGACCCACAGCAACACTTCAAGTTCTTTCTGTTTATGTAGTACTGAGGAATCAAACCCAGGACTTCATGCATGCTAGGCAAGCACTCTACCACTATGCCACAATACAGCCCCATGTATATTATTCTTCTGACATAAGCTGATATTATACAATTTACTGTTAGAGCAGATCCATGCAGGACGGTAAAAAATTAGTATGTGTCAAATGCCAATGGTTCATGCCTATAGTTCTAGCTATCCAGGAGACTGATAACTGAAGATCAGAGCTCAAAGCTAGCCTGGGCAAAAAAAGTCTGTGTGACTCTTCCTCCAACTAGCTACCAAAAAGTTGGAAGTGAAGCTCAAGTGGTAGAGCACTAATTTTTTTTTTTGGCTAGTCCTGGGGCTTGAACTCAGCCTGGGCACTGTTCTGAGCTGCTTTTTTTTGCTCAAGGCTAGCACTCTACCACTTAAGCCACAGCACCACTTCCAGCTTTCTCTGTGTATGTGGTACTAAGGAATCCAACCCAGGGCTTCATGCATGCTAGGCAAGCACTCTACCACTAAGCCACATTCCCAGCCCCTAGAGCACTAATCTTGAGTAAATAGCTAAAAGACAGTACCCAGGTTTGAGTTCAAACCCCAGTACCAGCACAAAAAAGTCATACTAAAACATTATGCTATGCCATGCCAGCAGTAGCCTCATATCATACATCTTGTGTTTACCAAGTCTCTTGATTGCTTCAAAGGCTACATCAAGTGACTAGCCTATACCATCTGGGTTTGGGCAATTACATGCTATGATGTTCACACAATAATGAAAGTGCCTAACAACATGTTTCTTAAGCTATGTCCCCATTGTTAAGGAACATGTGACTATAATTAGGTTTAGATGAGGTCATGAGGGTGAGAACTTATGATGGAATTAGTGTCCTTGTAAGTAGAGGAAGGAAGACCAGAGCATTTATGGACCCCCAACTGCTTGTGTTCTCATTGTGAGGACACAATAAAAAGGCAGCCATCTTCAAGGCCTTCATTGGGAACATTGCACCTTGATTTTGAACTTCTCTATACTGGAAGAATCAGATGTCTTTTGTTTAAGTCACCTAGTGATTCATTATAGTAGCCTAAGCAGAATAACACACAGTATTAAGTGTATATTTAGAAGGATCTTTAGTCTGACATTATCCAAAAAATGTACTCATTACCTGACAACACCTTAATAACAATACACTATTAAAAATCTTTAGGGCTGGGAAGGTGGCTCAGTGGTAGAGTGTCTGCCTTGCATGCATGAGGCCCTGGGTTCGATTCCTCAGCACCACATAAGCAAAAAGAAAAAAGCCGGAAGTGGTGCTGTGGCTCAAGTGGTAGAGCGTTGGCCTTGAGCTGAAGAGCTGAGGGACAGCGTCCAGGCCCAGAGTTCAGGCCCCACGACTGGACCCCCCCCCAAAAAAAGAAATATTTATAGATAATTATATAGGGGAAGTCTGGTGTTAAAAAGTACTGTAGCCAAAAAAAAAAAAAAAAAGATTGAGGGGTAGATAAAAAGATTGGAAAAGTATTGAAAATTATTGAAGCTGAGGGCTTATTATAGTCTTCTCTTTTCTTTTTGTATGTTTGAAATGCTTCATTATTAAAGGTTAAAAAATGTTTATATTAAGGGATAAGTGAGCTGGGTACTGGTGACTCACACCTGTCATCTCTGAGTTCAAGCCTCAGGATAGGCACACAAAAAAGAGAGAGAAGTGAGAGGAGGGAAATTAATGAGCACAGAAATGATATTAAAGCAGCAGACATAGGGTTTGGGTGAGGTGGTAATGTGCCTGACAAGCACAAGATTCTGAGTTCAAATCTTAATCCTAGTACATAGTTCAAAAAAACAAAAAACAAAAAACAGCCACACAGCTGGGCACTGATGGCTCACATCTATAATCCTAGCTACTCAGGAGGCTGAGATCTGAGGTTTGAAGCCAGCCCAGGCAGGAAGTCTGGGAGACTCTGATCTCCAATGAAAAGTACTCAGAAAAAGCTGGAAATAGTGCTGTGGCTCAAATGGTAGAGTGCTAGCCTTGTGCACAGATAGGATCAGAAACAGAGCCCAGGCCCTAAGTTCAAGCCCCAGACTGGCATAAAAAAAGCCATGCATACCTTTCTGCAATGACGTCTGACTTGATTCATCTTGTGTATTATCTTTCTGAGCATTCACTAGATCTGCAACCAGAATTTCAAGTGATATATAGTTGCTCCCAGATGTCTGAATTTTTTCCTCCATTATTTTCTTAATATCCTTAAAACTGAATCCCATTCTTATAGCTTCCTGTACCATAGGATTCTGGAAGATAGTATCATCTGAGAAGAAAATTGGACAAAAAATGAGCATGGTTGAATCAAATATTTTCATTAATACAACTTAATAAAATAGTTTAAAATAGCATACAGCAATCTGAGTGAGGTAATACACAATTGTAAGCCCAGAACTCAAGAGACTGACAGGAGGAGAATCATGAGTGTGAAATCAGCCTAGGCCACACTCAAAAAAAAGAGAAAGAAACAGAATGAACTATGCAACTATGCAGGGAAGGGAGGGAAAAACTGGGGGAAAGTGAAGGAAGGGATGACACTGTCCATTACCTGACTTATGGAACTGTAACCATTTTGTACAAATTGCTAATAATTCTTTTTGTCGGTCATGTGGCCTGAACTCTGGACCTGGGCACTGTCCCTCAGCTCTTCAGCTCAAGGCTAGTGCACTACCACCTGAGCCACAGCGCCATTTCCGGCTTTTTCTGCTTATGTGGTGCTGAGGAATCGAACCCAGGGCCTCATGCATGCAAGGCAAGCACTCTACTACTGAGCCACCTTCCCAGCCCCTAAAATTATTTTTTATTTCTTACTGTTATTATAAAGGTGATATACAGAGGGATTACAGACATATAAGTCAGGTAATGAGTACATTTCTTTTTGGACAATGTCACCCTATTCCCTTGCTCTCTTCCAGTGTTTCCCTCCCATCTCCACCCAAAAGTTGTATAGTTCATTTTCAATATAGTATCTAGTGAGAATCATTGCTACATTTGTTCACCCAATAAAATTATTTCTTAAAAAAGTTTAAAGCCAGGCACTGGTGGGTCATACCTATAATCCTAGCTACTCAGGAGGCTGAGATCTGAGGATCATGGTTCGAAGCCAGACTAGGCAGAAAAGTCAATGAGACTCTTATTTCCAATAAACCACTAGAAAACCGAAGTGGCTCTATGGCTCAAGAGGTAGAGCACTAGCCTTGAGCTGAAGAGCTAAAGGACAGAACTTAGGCCCAGAGTTCAGACCCATGACCAACAACAACAACAAAAAACAAAACAAAACAAAACAAAACAAAAATGTTTAAGCAGCAGGCAAAAATAAATAGATAAAACCAAAATGCATGGGCCTGGGAAGTTGGCTCATTGGTACAGTGCTTGCCTCACATGCATGAAGCCCTGGGTTCAATTCCTCAGCACCACATAAGCAGAAAAAAACTGGAAGTGGTGCTGTGGCTCAAGTGGTAGGGTGCTAGCCTTGAGCTGAAGAACTGAGGGACAGCACGCAGGCCCAGAGTTCGGCCCCCATGACCAACAAAAAAAAAATGCACTACCAAACTTAAACCTGCTTTGCAATACTTTTTGTGGACATTTTTGTGACTGAATGATACCTTCTGGAATCTTGTAATTCACTGTAAATGTTGTATACATTTTATGGCACCATGGCTTATTCAAGATTAGGGTTTAGCTGGGTGCTGGTGGCTCACACCTGTAATACTAGCTAATCAGTAGGCTGAGATCTAAGAATTCACTATTTGAAGCCAACCTAGGCAGAAAGTTCCAGCCAAAAAGTTCATGGGTGTCTTATCTCCAACAGACTACTAAGAAAAAGTGGGACATAGTACTGTGGCTCAAGTGGTAGAGTGCTAGCCTTGAGCACAGAGAGGCTCATGGACAGTGCCTAGCCCTGAATTCAGCTCTAGAACCAGAAAAAAAAAAGAATAAAGCCAGTCACCGGTGGCTCATGCCTATAATCCTAGCTACTCAGGAAGCTGAGATTATGAAGATCATGGTTCAAAGACAGCCCTGGCAGGAGAGTCCGTGAGACTCTTTATTCCCAGTTAACCACCACAAAACCAAAAGTGTTGCTGTGGCTCAAAGTGGTAGAGCACCTCAAGCAAAAGAGCTCTCAAACAGAGCTCAGAGCCCCACATCTGACCAAAATAAGTAACTAAATGCTTCAAAACTCTGGTTTTTCAAATTAACTGTGCTCATTAACAGTTAACCAAAAATACTTAAAACATTACGTTTTAAGTAGTTGCTATAAAGTCAAACACAAGGATTTTCATTAAAAGCAATTGAGAAATCAGGGGAAGTCCCAGTCTGTGATCTGGAATGTATAAGCTTCTCTTTTTTTGCCAGTTGTGGGGCCTGAACTGGGCCTGGGTACTGTCCCTCAGCTTTTCAGCTCAACGCTAGAGCTCTACCACTTGAGCTACAGCGCCACTTCCAGCTTTTTCTGCTTATGTGGTGCTGAGGAATTGAACCCAGGGCCTCATGCATGCAAGGCAAGCACTCTACCACTGAGCCACCTTCCCAGCCCTGTATGAGTTTCTTAACATTCAGCTAGTTTCTGCACCTGAAGCTCTTGGGATAGGTAACACATAAAAGTTAACACAGCTGGGCGCTGATGATTCACGTCTGTAATCCTAGCCACTCAGGAGGATGAGATCTGAGGACTGCAGTTCAAACATAGCCCCAGCAGGAAAGTCCATTAGGGTCTCTAATAAACTGCCAGAAAAACAGAAGTAGCACTGTGACTCAAGTGGTAGAATGCTCGCCCAGAGTTTAAGCCCCACAACTGACAAAAAAAAAGTTAATGCAGCCAGGTGCTGGTGGCTCACACCTATAATCCTAGCTACTAAGGAGGCTGAGATCTGAGGATCACGGTTCAAAGCCAGCCCAGGCAAGATAGTCCATGAGACTCTTATCTCCATTAAACCACCAGAAAACTGGAAGAGTGGTAGAGCACTAGCCTTGAGCTGAAGAGCTGAGGGACAGTGCCCAGGCCCAGAGTTCAAGCCCCATGACTGACCAAAAAAAAAAAGTTAATATAATCTCACTTTTCTTTTTTAATTCTTTTTGGTATGTATGCTGGTACTAGGAATTGAACTCAGGGCTTGGGTGATGCCCTGAAATATTTTTGCTCAAGGCTGGCATACTACCACTTGAGTCATATATAGCTCCATTTAGAGATAATCTCACACTTTCTGCTCAGGCTGGCTTTAAACCATGATTCTCAGATCTCATCCTCCAGAAAAACTAGGAGGGTAAGCCACTGGTGCCAGGCTGCATGCTCATTTTTATGACACTCTAAGTAGGAATATAGAATGTATGCTTACAAAGGAGACTTGGATTCTGACTCATCAATTCCATTCTTGGGTATTAAAAATGAGTGCCTATCTCTCTGTTAGATATGCACAAGAACACTTGTGCAATATTATTCATAAGAGCTCAAAATTGAAAACAACTCAAATGCCTATCATTAGATGAGTGGATGAATGAACTGGGGTACATTTAAATAGTAAACAGAAGCCAGGTGCCAGGGGCTCATGCCTGTAATCCTAGCTACCCAGAAGGCAGAGAAGGGCTGGGAAGGTGGCTCAGTGGTAGAGTGCTTGCCTTGCATGCAGCAAGCCCTAGGTTCGATTCCTCAGCACCACATAAGCAGAAAAAGCCAGAAGTGGTGCTATGGCTCAAGTGGTAGAGCACTAGCCTTAAGCTAAAGGGCTGAGGGACAGCATCCAGGCCCAGAATTCAGGCCCCATGACCAGCAAAAAAAAAAAAAAAAAAAAAGAAGGCTGAGATCTGAGGATCATGGTTCAAAGCTAGCCTGGGCAGGAAAGTCCATGAGACTCTTATCTCCAATTAACCACCAGAAAATCGGAATCAGAAGTGGCGCTGTGGCTCAAGTGATAGAGCACTAGCCTTGAGCTAAAGAGTTGAAGGAACAGAACCCAGGCTCAGAGTTCAAGCCCCACAACCGCAAAAAAAAAAAAGTAAACAAAGAGGAAAGAAAACAAAGAGGAAACAAAGAGGAAAGAAAAACAAACAAAAAAAAATACTAACACCAAAAAACATGGATAAACCTAATGGGTAAAAGAAGTAAAACATAATGATAAACCAGACACAAGAGAGTACGTACTATTTCATATATGAGTTCAAAGCAAATCTGCAGAAAGGGGTACTGAATAAAAGGGGGGCTAATAAAGCTCTCAGGGTAGGAGAAATATTCTAGATCCTGATGTGATGAAGGTTATATAGGTGTATTTACATGTTAAAATTCATCAAATTGAAAAGAACTATATATTTTTTTGTAGTGCTAGAGAATGAAATCAAGGCCTCATGCATGCTAGGCAAGCCCTCAACCCCAACCAACATCCCCCCCACCCCGGGGTAATTGTGTGTGTGGGTGGGGGGGCGGGAGGGGGGGGCGGTACAGGGTATGAACTCAGGGTCTTACAGTTGCTAAGCAGGTGTTGTACTGTAATGTAATGCTTGTAGACATCAGTAATATTTTCTAAGGGACAAGTAAAGAAGATGTAGAGATTTGATTAAAGGGAATAAAAACATATGATTTGTGTTTGACAAAGAAAAATTCTATAGGGAGGTTATAATGCAGACAAAAATCACCAGTTCCCACATGACTACAATAATCCTATGAAAAACAAGGGCCTGAATGGGTACAGCAAGAGTGGGAAGGTGGTGAATTCTAGACAATATTAAAAAGATGGAATCCGTCAGACCTGGTGGTTAATTAAATGTAGATGTATTATGGAGAACAAAGAGCTTAGAATGACTCAAGTTACTAGGTGACTTTGTGAACCTTGATGCTATTAAACTAATGTAGGAGGAAAAAGGCCAGGAACTGATTTGGTCTGAGTGGCTGGGTAGGTTTTATAGATGCTAAATTTAAGTGGCTTTTAGGATTACTAGGTGGAGTTATGCCAAGGGCAGCTCTAGTCAGATTCTCCCACCACTGACTTGCTTGTATTTGACATCTGTTTTGCTAGCTCCTTTACTTCTGCTTACCAGATTAGATGTCCCCAACCATTCCCTCACTGAGGCCTTTTCAAATTATGTCTCCATAGACTTTATTTAGTTTTGTTTAGTTACATAGTCAGTCTTTTTCACTTCAGTTATTTTCAGTCTTCAGTTTAGTTATTTTTCAGATAGTGTTTTTTTGCCTGGAGCCAGCCCTGGAAAGAAATACTATCTATGCATCTCTCATAGTTTCAATGACTGGAGTATAGGATCTCACCCAGCTGGTTGGCTGAGATAAAGGAGGCCCAGAGCTCTAGAGGCAATCCTTCTGGTAGCCAGTAGCTAGAAGGATCAGGTTTTAATATCTTTGTACTTAGATATCCAGTAGGTATCTCAAATTTAACTTGCTAAAAACCAAGAGAATATACAAGTTGATATGAACATGAAAAAGAATAAAATGGACTTTTGTTTGACAATATATACAAAATTTATTTCAAAGTGGCTCAAAGACCTGAATGTAAATGGCTCAAATAGTAAAGCAATAGCCTTGAGTGGTAAAGCCAAACAAAAGCTCAAGACCCCAGCTGGTGCTAGTGGCTCATGCCTATAATCCTAGCTACTCAGCAGGCTGAGATCTGAGGTCTGGGCTTTGAAGCCAGCCCTGGCAGGAAAGTCCATGAGACTCTTCTCTCCAATAAAGTACTCAAAAGAAAAGCCAGAAGTGATGCTCAAAGTGGTAGAGCACTAGCCTTGAACAGAAAAGCTCAAAGACAGAGCCTAGGCCCTGAGTTCAAGCCCCACAACTGACTCTGACTCTCTCTCTGTCTCTTCTCTCTCTCTGTCTCTCTCTCTCTGTCTCTCTCTCTGTCTCTCTCTCTCTGTCTCTCTCTCTCTCTCTCTCTCTCTCTCTCTCACACACACACACACACACACAGAATGCTTAGAGGCCCCAAGTTTAAATCTCAGTACTGTACTCATGCTTGTAATCCTAGTTATTCCTTAGGCTGGGATCTGAGGATTGTAATTCAAATCCAGCTCAAGCAGTTAAGTCCATGAGACTTTTATTCCAATTAATAACAGAAAAAAAGCTGGAGTTGGGACTCAAGTGGTAGAGCACTAGCCTTAAGCATAAGAAGTTCAGAGAACACCCAGGCATTGAGCTCAAGCCCCAGAACGAAAAACAAAACAAAAAAACAGCAAAAAACACAATCCAGTATATTCTTTGTTTAACACACTATGCTTCTCTGACTACTTTATGTTTGTTTATATGCCTCCCTCATTTTCTGCTTTTAAAGATTCCTATGGAGCCTGGCACTGGTGGCTCATGCATGTAATCCCAGCTACTCAGGAGGCTGAGATTTGAGGATCACGGTTCAAAGCTAGCCCAAGAAGGAAAGTTCATGAGACTCTTATCTTCAATTAGCCACCAGAAAACCAGAAGTGGCTCTGTGGCTAAAGTGGTAGAGCACTCACCGTAAGCTGAAGAACTGAGGGACAGCACCGAGGCCCAGAGTTCAAGCCCACGACCAAGCAAAAAAAAAAAAAAAAAAGATTTCTAGGGGACTGGGGATGTGGCTCAAGTGGTAGAGTGTTTGCATATTGAGGTCAAGGCCCTGAGTTCAAACCCTAGTACAGCCAAAAAATAAAAAAGATTGGGGCTGGGAAGGTGGCTCCGTTGTAGAGCGCTTGCCTTGCATGCATGAGGCCCTGGGTTCGATTCCTCAGCACCACATAAGCAGAAAAAAGCCGGAAGTGGCGCTGTGGCTCAAGTGGTAGAGCGCTAGCCTTGAGCTGAAGAGTTGAGGGACAGTGCCCAGGCCCAGAGTTCAGGCCCCATGATCGACAAAAATAAAAAAATTAAAAATTAAAAAAAATTAAAAAGATGTCTATTATGAATGATATAGATTTCTCTACCTCTCCATGAAGCAATAAGTGGTAAACAAACCAAACTTCACCTCTTTGTAAGGTTGCCGGGAAAGACACAGATGGGTTTTTTTTTTTTTTTTTGGCGGTCATGGGGCTTGAACTCTGGGCCTGGGCGCTGTCCCTCAGCTCTTCAGCTCAAGGCGAGTGTTCTACCACTTGAGCTACAGCGCCACTTCCGGTTTTCTGGTGGTTTATTGGAGATAGGAGTCTCACGGTCTTTCCTGCCCGGGCTGGCTTTGAACCGCGATCCTCAGATCTAAGCCTCCTGAGTAGCTAGGATTACAGGCGTGAGCCACCAGCGCCCGGCGACAGTATGGGTTTTGAATAATGATGGTGATAGCACATTAGTGGAACACTGGATTCATCACCATGGCTTCCTCAGGGAGCCTCACATATAAAAATACACATCACTCTTACTTTTGTGACTTTAACAGAAGTAGTGATAAGGAAAACTGTTTTGGGCCTTTTCTAAACATGGAAAATCTAATTGTCCAAAAGTTATATTGGCATCCTCTTTTAAAGAAATAAACAAAAAACTCTTTTTATTTGTTCACCTTATTACAGTACTGGGGATCGGAACCCAGGCCCCAAGCACACTAGGTAACTATTCTCTACCATTTGAGCCTTGTCCTCAGGCCATATAAACTTTTTTAGACACAGAAGTCCATTTTGTTGCCCAGTCTGCTGTTTAAGTCCTAGACTCAAGTGATCTTGTTGCCTGTGCCTCCTTGAGTAGCTAGGGACTAGAAGTGTGAGCCACTGCACACAACTTGTATTTTTTTTTTCTGAGATAGGGTCTAGCTGGTCTAGCTTTATGGCCCAGTTTGGATTCAAACTCACTTTGTAGCCCAATAAGATCTTGAACTTGCAATCCTCTTGCTTTAGCTTCCTAAATACAAAGATTACAGGTGTGTACCATCACACCTGATTTTATACTATTTTATTTTCAATTGTTTTCAGTGTACTAACACTTTTTATTTTGCCAATCCTGGAGCTTGAATTCTGGGCCTGAGCACTGTCACTGAGCTTTTGTGGTTAAGGCTAGCACTCTACCACTTGAGCTACAGCTCCATTTCTGGCTTTTTGTGGTTAATTGGAGGTAAGAGCCTCAGAGGGCTGGGAAGGTGGTCAGTGTTAGAGTGCTTGCATGCATGAGTCCCTGGGTTCGATTCCTCAGCACCACATAAGCAGAAAAAGCAGGAAGTGATGTTGTGGCTCAAGTGGTAGAGCACTAGCCTTCAGCTGAAGAGCTGAGGGACAGCACCCAGGCCAAGTTCAGGACCCACAACCAACAAAAAAAAAAAAGCACCAGAAACTTTCCTGTGGGGGCTGGCTTCAAATTATAATCCTCAGATCTCAGCCTCCAGAGAAGCTAGGATTATAGGCATGAGCCAACTGCCACCTGGCTGTACTAACACTCTTAATATAGAAATATCTGACTTAAAACTATGAAGCATTTCATTAAATTCTTAAATTTATAGCAATAAGTAACCAACATATTATGCTTCTTATTCTGTCACCCCATAAGTAACAACTATAATAAATTGGTAGCAAAATTAAAATTGTATTTATTTTAATAAGCACATTTACCGATTCTTTGAGTTAGTGATGGTGTTTTTTCAGCAGTTCTTACCTAAAATAGAAATGTGAATCATAAGAATTCTTTTTGATAGAAAGCAATTACTTCAATATGAAAATTTACATTAATCATAAATTTGACATAAACTGGCTTTATTCTGATTTAAACCATGAATATTCACAAAAGGTACTGCCTGAAGGAACAGAAGGAAATGAGGACTATCTAATCCAATCTTATCACAAGCTGAGTCTTGAAATCTAATAACTATGCAAAAACAAGCAAAATAACTGCAAAACAAGCAAAAAGTATTTATGAGAGCAAAGTACATTATACAAAGGTTCAATTTCAGAAAGGTAAGAAGAGACTTTGGTGATTTAGTTTTCCAAACCCATTTCTATCTATAGTGATACTATAGATATATTCACTTATCCTAATTTCTTTATCACAAATTTCCTTTATGTCATGAGTTAGAGGTTCTCGCTGGGAAGGTGGATCAGTGGTAGAGTGCTTGCCTTGCATGCCTGAGGCCCTGGGTTCTATTCCTCAGCACCACATAAGCAAAAAGAAAAGAGCCAAAAGTGGTGCTGTGGCTCAAGTGGTAGAGCGCTCGCCTTGAGCTGAAGAGCTGAGGGACAGCACCCAGGCCCAGAGTTCAGGCCCCACGACCAGACCCAAAAAACAAAGAGTTAGAGGTTCTCTTCAAATTTTTCCCTTTAAATCTCACCATAAATTACTAAGTTACAACACTAAACCATAAATTTTATATGAAAAAATAATTACAAAACAAATGTTATGTTTTAAAACATATTATTATACAATATAGGACTTACCAGAGACTCCTCAGTTGAATGGGTTAAATGAATATTGTTTATATATTCTTGTCCCTTCTCTTCCAATAAATATTTACAGCTAAACAATGGAAGATTGAACTTTAGTAGTTGATAAATTAGTAAAGTATTAGCAAAGATATAATCTCCATCACATTAATTCCATTAACTTACTTTTTGTTGCTTCTAAAGGCCTACAATGTAAAATGCTACTGAATTCCCTATCCAACTGTCATTTTAAAGTTAAAAAATGTTCCTACTTAAGATAATGTTAATACAGCAGCAAAACATCAACTCTACAATTTTCAACTTTTAAGCAAGAGTTATGAAATTAACACCTTGACATTTTTTTAAATCAAATTTAAACTAGTTAATTATCTTAACAGGTTTTATTTAGAGGATTAACCATTGTACATATAAAATCTTCACTTTCATCTTTTTTAAGGTTAAAGGTAAAAGTACTTTTGAAATGTAACTATGAATTTGTACTATTTTTTTGTCCATTGTAGGGCTTGAACTGTGGGCCTGAGCGCTGTCCCTCAGCTCTTCAGGTCAAGGCTAGTGCTCCACCACTTGAGCCACAGTGCCACTTCTGGTTTTCTGGTGGCTAAATGGAGATAACAATCTCATGGACTTTCTTGCCCGAGCTGGCTTTGAACCGTAATCCTCAGATCTTAGCCTCCTGACTAGCTAAGATTACAGGCATGAGCCACCAATGCCCAGCTGAATCTGTACTATTTTTGAAGGCCAGAAATTCCCATCACTTGTATACCTAATTTATTTTTACAATTTAAGGCCTGGGCCTATGTGCTGACCCTGAGCTTTTTTTCCACTTAAAGCTGACACTCTACCACTTGAGCCACAGTTCTACTTCTAGCTTTTTGTTGAATAACTGGAAATATAAGCCTAAAGGGCTTGTCTGCCAGGGCTCGCTTTGAACCACCATCCTCAGATCTTAGCCTCCTAGGTAAGTAGGATTATAGCCATGAGTCACCAACCAGTGCCTGACTTGGATGCTTTAAACAGGCAAAATGGTAAAGACATTTACAGCACTTGATCCTAAAACGCCACTGACTATAAGAAGCACAATTCTTTAGGTACCACCTAAAACTGGTGCCAGTTGCATTATGACCCACCAACAGACAGTCCTATATCAGAGATCTTAAAACATGAATACGTGTGTCTTAAAATCAGTGACAGTGGTTCAAAGCCAGCTTGGGCAGGAAAGTCCATGAGACTCTTATCTCCAAATAAGCCACCAGAAAACTAGAAGTGGAGCTGTGGTAGAGCACTAGCATTGAGCTGAAGAGCTGAGGGATAGCACCCAGACCCAACAGCCGACAAAAAAATTGCGTGACAGGCTGGGAATGTGGCATAATGGTAGAGTGCTTGCCTAGCATGCAAGAATTCCTGGGTTTGATTCCTGAGTACCACATAAACAGAAAAAGCCGAATGTGGTGCTATGGCTCAAGTGGTAGAGTGCTATCCTTGAGCAAAAGAAGTTCAGGGACAATGCCCAGGACTGGCAAAAAAAAAAAAAAAATCAATGATAGCTGGGTACTAGTAGCTCATGCCTGTAATCCTAGCTACTCTGGAGGCTGAGATCTGAGGATCATGCTTCAAGCCAGCCCAGGCTGAAAAGTCCCCATGAGATTCTCATCTCCAATTAACCATCAGAAAACTGGAAGTGGTGCTGTGGCTCAAAGTGGAAGAGCACTAGCCTTGAGCAAAAGGAACTCAGGGATAGGAATAAGGCCCTGAGTTCAAGCCCCACAACTGACCAAAAAAAAAGAAATAATGGCTTTTTAAGGATTCTTCTTGGTACTCTGGGTCTCCCATACTCATAAAGAAAAAGCCATATGTATGCACATATGTATGTATGTATGTATGCATGTATGTATTGTTGGTCATAGGGATTGAACTCTGGGCTTGGGCACTGTCCCTGAGCTTTTCAGCTCAAGGCGAGCACTCAACCACTTGAGCCACAGCACCACTTCTGGTTTTCTGGTGGTTAATTGGACATACGAGTCTCAAGGATTTTCCTGCCCAGGCTGGCTTTGAACTTCAGTCCTCAGATCTCAGCCTCCTGTGTAGCTAGGATTACAGGCGTGAGCCACCTGCACCCGGCTCAAGTATGTTTTCTAATTTGATGTTTAGAAATGGAACCATATGAAGAATGCTAGAGATATGCTATATAAGCAGTGAGTGTTTTGGTCACCAGAGAAGGCTTAGGTATCTTTTTTTCCTATAAAGTAGGTGACCCCATTTTTATAAACCTAGTGTGAATTTCAAGACATAGTGAAGGCAAAAATAGTTGAGGTGAAAAATAATTCAAGTCTTTCCACTGCATACTCTCCAACTTGCTGGTTTACTGAATGAACAATTAAATATCTTACCCTGGATACCACTTGGCATGTTGTTCCCAAGGGTCTTCACTGGGCTTCCAATCAGTTAGCCCTCCGCCACAGTGAAAGCACTTCACTTTATCACCTTCACCTAAGAAGATAGACAAGAAAAAAAATGAATTTGTACACTTAGAAACTTATACAAAATATTCATTCTAACATATAAAAATTAATCTATATCCTCTATATCCCATGGCTTAAAGGGCATTTACATCTGAGTGATAGGTATACTCATGCATGAGGCCCTGGGTTCGATTCCTCAGTACTACATAAGCAGAAAAAGCCAAAGTGGTGCTGTGGCTCAAGTGGCAGAGTGCTAGCCTTGAGCTGAAGTGCTGAGGGACAGTGCCCAGGCCCAGAGTTCAAGCTCAATGACTGACAAAAAAAATTTTGTGCTGGTTTTGGGCCTTGAACTCGGGGCCTGTAAACATTCTCTGATGTTCTTTGGCTTAAGGCTGAGCCACAGCGCCACTTTCTGTTTTCTGGTTGTTAACTGGAGATAGGAGTCTCAGGGACTTTCCTTCCTGGGTTGGCTTTGAACTGCAATCCTCAGATCTCAGTCTCCTGAGTAGCTAGGATTATAGGTGTGAGCTACCGGTGCCCAGCCTGGCTAATTTTTACATTCTTTCTCATAGATCTTATTTCACTCATCAAAACTGCAGTTATTTTATCAAGCTCTGAAACTTCAAAACAGGTTATTTTTGAAATTATTCTGAGACTAATACTGATAAATATTTTATGTCTGCTTATACCTATTTACCAGTTCAGGGGGTTAAAGACGTTTATTTGCTTTTTAGGGGGCCTAGGATAGCTGGCAAGTTATTTATTGGTTCAGGTTACCTAAAGCATAAAATCCAGCACTTGCAAGTTGCTCCTTGTTAACTGAGTATATCCACGTTCCAAAAGTAATGATCCGTGCTTCATAATTGGCCATGGCTGGATTTCTTGGAAGATGTGTTGAATTGGGGTAATTTCTATCAGAACTTACATCAGGCTCACTTCGAACATTAACGTTGCGGCCCAAAACAAAGAAGCAATTAGGAAAGTGCCGTCTGTGCTCTGACCAGGCACGGTCACAGGGTTCCCAATTTTTCAGTTTTCCACCACAACAAAAACACTGCACTTGGTCATCTATACCTGTGTAGTAGAGTCCAGCACTAGCTAACTCTCTGGGGGTTAAGTGAGCATAGTCTGGCCAATTGTGGAATGATTTTAATCGGGCTTCTTCACTACACATGGAAGGGTTCCTTGGGTATATAGTGTCTGAAATATCTACAATCTGCCCAGTTCTCAGAAGATAGTCTGCATGAGTTTCAGGAGGCCTGTCTAGAGTGAAATGATTTCTGCTTCCCAGATAGTTTTCAGCTTTGTACTGACCATTTTGGACCCCAGGATTTGAAGATTGTGCTGCACTGCTTTCAAAATAAAAGCCGTTGATAAATCTGCAATTTGGGGATACCTTCCTATGTCTTCCAACTGCTGAGTCTCCATACTGCCATCTATCTACTGCTGCATGACAACTAAAGCACTGCACAGTATCTCCTTCACCAGTATAAAGAAAACCTGCCCGTGCTAATGTTGATGCTGCCACAGGACTATTGCTTGGAAAATTAGTAAAAGTTTTTAATCTATTAAATTCTTCTACAAATTCTTCATCCTTATTGATGTCTGCAGGTATACAAGTTTTAGATCCTTCACAATTGTTAAACGTCATCTTCTCTTGAAAACAGGACTTGTCCACTTTTCCTAAAAAAAGAACATTACATTAGGAAACACGAAATGTAAAACGTAAGTAACATACTTTTGATATTGGGAGCTCATAAAATATCCAATAATGACATACAATAACCATACAATTGCTAAAATACATTCTACTTCTAAATACTAGTGTTCTTTCCTCCCCCCCCCCTAAATACTAGTGTTCTATATTACCACATTATTCAAGTCTTAAAAGTAAAATCTGGCATTTTTATTGTTTCTCTTTCTTTTTTCTGCCACTTCTGGGGCTTGAACTTAGGGTCTGGGTCTGTGATCTTTTTTTGCTTAAGGCTGCCACTCTACCATTTAAGCCACAGCACCACTTCTGGTTTTTTCTGTCTATGTGGTCCTGAGGAATTGAACCCAGGGCTTCATGCATGCAAGACAAGCATTCTACCACTAAGCCACATTCTCGGCCCCTCTCTTTCTTTTTTGATTTTAGGAATTAAACTTACTGCCTCAAAAATGCTAAATACAAGCTCTACTACAGCTACATACATTTTTTTCTCTCTTAAAAATTTCTTTTTGCAAACTGGGCCCCCGTATCTCAAGACTGTAAGCCTAGCTCCTCAGGAAGCTGCGAACTGAGGACTGCGGTTCAAAGCCAGCCTGGGCAGGAAAGTCCGTAAGACTCTTTATCTCCAATTAACCACCAGAAAACCAGAAGTGGTACTGTGGCTCAAGTGGTAGAGTGCTCACCTTGAGCTGAAGAACTGAGGGACAGCACCCAGGCCCAGAGTTCAAGCTCCATGACCGACAAAAAAATTTTAAAAAAATTTTTGCATACTAGTCAAGTGCCCTAAGATTGAGCCATATCCTAACCTTCTGTTTTCTCTTGCAAAGAAAATAATATTTGAACAAGTACAACAAAAATACTAATTTTAAATGCTCATTTAATAGAAACATAAAAACTATGGCAAAGAATGCATTGTATATAATGAACATATAAAGTCTATAATGAAAAGTATGAAAGATCATAAAATAAACATAATTGTTATAATGGATCATTGTATATTCAAGGTATCAAAGTTCAATTTTTATAATTCAAAGAGAAACAAATATTCAGTGTCAATGAATTAATTTTTAATGTATTTTTACTTTTTGCTTAGCAATAAATATTTAGACTATTGATCCTAACATATTATTTAAAATATGATTTTCATAAATAAACAAGGGGCCATATTTTTATAAGTGTAATACACACACACACACACACACACACACACACACACACACACACACACACAAATACTGCCCTCTAGAGAACAATTCTAAGTATCTGAAGACCTTAATTGCAGTTACTTCTGGTCAAGGAACAATCTGTTCGAAAGAGAATTTAGCAGCCTCATTAGTGCTGCCAAATTATAGCTGTGTAATGTTTAACCCAGATAAAATACTAAAATCAGTCAGTTGGGTTATGAGAACGATGGTAAGATAATTTATCCCCTAAAGCTACATACTTCTGAAAGTGAAAAATGAGGCTACTAATAATTACAAGGCACAGTCAGGTTTCTCCCAAGCAAATCAGAGCATGTGGTCACTTGCTTAGCAATTAGACAAACCTTGTTCTCCAGAATCTCTCATTCTTTGTTCAGTATATGCTTGTCAAGGGCAAATAGAAGAATGGTTAGCCAGGCATTAGTGGCTTATCCCTATAATCCTAGCACTCAGGAAGCTGAGATCTGAAAATCGCAGTTCAAAGGCAGCACAGGCAGAAAAATCCATGAGACTCTTATCTCCAATAAACTACTCAGAAAAAGCCAGAAGTGGAGCTGTGGCTCAAGTGGTAGAGTGCTAGCCTTGAGCACCAAGAGGCTTAGGGACAGTGCCCAGGCCCTGAATTCAAGCCTCAGGACCCGCAAAAAGAAAAAGATGAAAGAAAGAAAGAAAGGAAGAAAGAAAGAAAGGAAGAAAGAAAGAAAGAAAGAAAGAAAGAAAGAAAGAAAGAAAGAAAGAAAGAAAGAAAGAAAGAAAGAAAGAAAGAAAGAAAATGTTGGTAAAGAGGCAGAGCAAGGGCTGGGAAGGTGGCTCAGGGGTAGAGGGCTTGCCTTACATGCATGAGGCACTGGGCTCGATTCCTCAGCATCATATAAGCAGAAAAAGCTGGAAGTGGCACTATGGCTCAAATGGTAGAGCACTAGCCTTGAGCTGAAGAGCTGAGGGACAGCGCCCAGGCCCAGAGTTCAGGCCCCATGCCCAACAAAAAAAAAGAAAGAAAAAAAAAAAGAAGCAAAACAAGAAGAATCTCAGACTATGAATGGGAATGTAAATTCCTTTGGCCATACAAAAACAGCATGGAGCTTGCCCCCTAAAAACTAGATAGATATACCACACAATCTAGTAATCCACCACAACATACATATCCAATGGAACTAAAATCAGTAAATTGAACAGACATTTGTATTTGATAGTTATAATATTTTTTGGGAGGGGGTTACGGTCGTGGGGCCTGAATTCTTGGCCTGGGTGCTATCCCTCACCTTTTCAGCTCAAGGCTAGTGCTCTATCACTTGAGCCACAGCGTCACTTCTGGCTTTCTTTTTTTTTTTTTTTTTTGGGTCCAGTCGTGGGGCCTGAACTCTGGGCCGGGTGCTGTCCCTCAGCTCTTCAGCTCAAGGCTGGCACTCTACCACTTGAGCCACAGCGCCACCTCTGGCTTTTTTTTCTTTTTGCTTATGTGGTGCTGAGGAATCGAACCCAGGGCCTCAGGTATGCAAGGCAAGCGCTCTACCACTGAGCCACCTTCCCAGCCCCTGGCTTTTTTTCTTTTTGCTTACGTGGTGCTGAGGAATTGAACCCAGGGCCTCATGCACGCAAGGCAAGCGCTCTGATATTTATAATAGCAGTGTTCACCACAAGCAAGTTATAGAATCAACATAGATATCCCCTGCTAGATGAATGGATAAAGAAAACATGGCATTATGTACATAACAGAGTATTTCTTCCGCTTTAAAACAAATGAGGGTCTGGGAAAAAAGCCGGAAGTGGCGCTGTGGCTCAAGTGGTAGAGTGCTAGTTTTGAGCTGAAGAGCTGAGGGACAGCGCCCAGGCCCAGAGTTCAGGCCCCACAACCACACCCAAAAAAATAAAATAAAATAAAACAAATGAAACTCAGTCACTGGCAGCAACATGGATAGAACTGAAGGATATCATGCTAAATGAAATAAGTCAGGTGCAAAAAGATAAATACCATATGCAGAAGCTAAAAGTTTGATCTGATAGAAGCATAGAAAAGTAGTCACTAGAGCCTAGGAAAGATGTGAGATGGAGAAATGGTGGTCCAAGGCATCAGGGTACAGCTGGATAGGATAATGTTTTTTGAAACAAGATCACCCTATGTAGCCCAATCTGGCCTCAAATCATAATCCTCATGCCTCAGCCTCTTAAGTACTGGGATTATAGACATGCACCACCACATCATATAGGAATAATATCCTAAAGTCTCAGAGCACAGTAGATAACTATAGTTGACCACAACTGAATATTTCAAAAAATAGCTAGCAGACAGGATTTTGAAATACAAAGAAAAATTAATGTTTGAGGTAACAAATATGTCAATTACACTGATCTGATCATTACACATTACATCTGCATAGTGAGATTCTACACTGTACCCCAAAGATATGTATAGGTTCTGTATCGATTAAACAAACAAAAATAAAATCTTAAAAATAAATTCACTTACAAGGCTAAGGCAGAAATTCTCCAATTCAAGGCCCTAGCTAAAAATAAATGAGGGAAAGAAATTTACAATGACTGTCTATATTTCATTTGTGTGTTGACTGCTTAGAAATAGGGATAATTCTAAGATGTTTTTGTTAGCATAATGTTTTACAACGTACATCTCTCTGATAATAGTCAATACAAGGCTTCTCTGTCACAAGCTGGAAGTGAACTGTAGGCTTCTTGGTCTTGTCAAATTATAGTGGTATTGAGATAGCTAGCTAGCTAGATATCTAAGATCAAGACCTTAGTTTTACATATATAAAATAGATTTCTAAAATATAGTCTTCATGACTTCATTACTATTTTTCAATGACTGAAAACATTCTGACCACAGTTTCAAAGTCATCTGTTGAATCAATATAATAAATTCAATGATAAAACCCAAGAACTGGGCTGGGATTGTGGCTTAGTGGCAGAGTGCTTGCCTAGCTTGTATGAAGCTCTGTGTTCAATTCCTCAGTACCACATAAACAGAAAAAGCCAGATGTGGCACTGTGGCTCAAGTAGTATAGTGCTAGCCTTGAGTAAAAGAAACTAAGGGCCAGTGCCCAGACCCTGAGTTCAAGCTCCCGGACTGGAAAAATATAAACAAATCAATAAAGAAAATCAAACCCAAGAATCATAGCTGGGCGTCATGCCTGTAATCCTAGCTACTCTGGAGAGGTTGCAATCTGAGTATTAAGAGTTCAAAGTTAGACCAAGCAGAAAAGTCCATTAGACTCTTATCTCTAAACACCAAAACACTGGAATTAGAGCTATGGCTCAAGTGGTAGAGCACTAGCTTTGAGTAAAAAGGCTCAGGGACACTACTACCCAGGCCTGAGTTCAAACCCCAGTATTGGCACACACAAAAAAGTCAGAAAAAGGCTACCTATGATTGTAGAAAACATCCTGTTATCCAACATTTTTTATTCTTTTAATTCAAATAAAATATTTCAAAAATAAAATTAGCATAGGCTTATAAGTAGGACCTGATCATCATTGAAAGTGTTTTCAAGTAAGCATGCATACTCTGGTTACTTAAAAAAACATTCTGTTTAGGGGATGGGAATGTGGCTTAGCAGTGCTTGCCTAGCAAACACAAAGTCCTGGATTCAATTCCTCAGCAACACATAAACAGAAAAAGCTGGAAGTAGCCCTGTGGTGCAAGTGGTAGATTGCTAGCCTTGAGTAAAAAAAAGGCTCAGGGACAGTGCTCAGTCCCTGAGTTCAAGCCCCAGGACTGGCAAAATTAATTAATTAATTAAAATAAAAAATTCTGT